GCTGAAGAGCTGAGGGACAGTGCCCAGGCCCAGAGTTCAGGCCCCATGATCGACAAAAAAAAAAAAAAAAGAACCAAAACAGGCCTGACCCAAGTGAACATGGCAGAGATTTGCCACCTCTAAGCAGAGGCTGTGAACAGAGGATGGCAGCACCTGCTGTAAGGGAGGAGTGCTGGGGCTGTCCAGCCTCACTAGGGAACTCACACCCCGGCCCCGGTGAGTCAGCAAGTGGGAGTACCCAGCATTTGCTGGTCAAAGCATGGTGCATTCCTGTGGTATTCTCTCCTCCTTCCCACTATCATGTTGAATGTGGATAAACAACCATAAGGATTTGGGGGAGGGTGAGAACCCCAGCCTGCAGTTTCCAGCCATGTCATTGGGCCTGTATGTCCCCCTGTAGGACAGGATTTCTGAACCTCAGTACACTTGACCTGAGGTGTTGGAGATTTCTTTGCTGCAGGGGGTTGGGGGCTGTCTGAGCACTGCAGGATGTTCAGCACAATGTCAACAGATGCCAGTGCTGCTCACTCCCCACTCCCTCAGTTAGTGACACCCAAAAATGTCTCCAGATATTTCCACATGCCCACTTGAGGACCAGATCATCCCCCCACACTAGGAGCCACGAAGGAAATAAGGGACTTAAATTTGAAATAGTCAAGAATCAAAAGAGAAGGTCAGCTGGCACTGGTGGAGGCTGAGATCTGAGGTTTAAGATTCAAAGCCAGTTGGGGGAAGCAGGAAAGTCCATTAGATTTTGTTTTTTTTGTCAGTCAGGGGGCTTGAACTCAGGGCCTGAGTGCTATCCCTGAGCTTTTTCGCACAAGGGTAGCACGTTACCACTTTGAGCCACAGCTCCACTTTTGGTTTTCTGGTGGTTTATTGGAGGTAAGAGTCTCATGGACTTTCCTGCCTAGGCTGGCATCAAACCATGATTTAAGATCTTAGTCTTCTGAGTAGCTAGGATTACAGGTCTAAGCCACTGAAGCCCAATTAAAGATAAGTGTGTGTGTGTGTGTGTGTGTGTGTGTGTGTGTGTGTTTGCTAGTAATCCTGGTGTGTGTGTGTGTGTGTGTGTTAGTAATCCTGGGGCTTGAACTTAGGGCTGAGGCACTGTTCCTGAGCATTTTTGCTAAAGGTCAGTACTGTACTACTTGAGCCATAGCTCTACAGAATGAGACTCTGATCTTTAAATAAACTACTCAGAAAAAAATGCTGGAAGTACAGCTGTGGCTAAGTGGTCAAGTACCAGCCTTGAGCAAAAAGAAGCTCAGGGACAGTGCCCATGTCTTGAGTTCAAGTCCCTGGACTGGCACAAAAACAAATTGAGAAGGTCACAAAGGCTGAGGGGCCCTGTGTGGCAGGAAAGGAAAGTCAGTGAGTGAGTCTGGCATTTACTTAGGCTCTTCAAGCAAATTCAGAGCAATGACAGGGTAGAAGCCAAAGACTGAGGAGTGAGGAGAAATGAGGAAGTGGGACCCCCAGGGGGCGCTCTTCTTCTAGGGCCTGGCTGTGAAGAGTAGGAAGGAAAGGAGTTACATGGTTGACAGAGGGAACACTGAATATCAGAGAAACCTGAGCTGGAGGAGACAGTAGAAGGGTGGAGGGTACAAGAAATGAACACTGCATTAGAGGTGTGGCTATTCTATCGCTACACTTTTTTAAGTCATACAAGGTCACTTGTTTTGTACGTGTGCCTGTCCTTGGGTTTGAACTCTGGGCTTGGGTGCTGTATTTATGTCTAATTATCTTTTACTCAAGTGTAGCCACCTATCACATGAGGCACAACTTCACTTCCAGCCATTTTGCTTGTTAATTGGAGTTAAGAATGTCATGGACTTTCTTGCCACAGCTAGTTTCAAACTGTGATCTTCAGATCTCAGTCTGAGTATCTAGGATTACAGGAGTGAGCCACTGGTGCCCAGCATTCACTCAAAAAATTCTCTTTAAAATAAATTCTCTATAAAAAGATATATACATACAAAGATGTGTGTTTGTAGAATTATGTATATGTACAGGAAAGGTATAGAGGGTACATGTTTAGCAAATACAGGATTAACCTTGAGAGAGTAGTTTCAGAGGCAGGATAAGAGGCAGTAAGGTACCAGAGTATGGGGTGGTGGGTGGTTTGGGGGTGGAATAGAGCCCTTTACTACTTTTACACACTTTTGTAAAATAAAATGAAATACTCACAAAAGTTAAAAAAAATAAATGTGAATTTATTTTCTGGGATGAATTTAGAAAGATTATGTGTTCTTCTGGGACAGAGAGGAGAGAGGTTATCAATTGTGTGTCTAGAATGTGGGAAAGCAAGGGGGAGGTCCTGCCTGCACTTGGATGATAGACAAGGCACCTAAAAGTGAGCCATGGTAGAAGATTAAATGCTGACTTCTAAGGAATGATAAACTTGAAGTAACTGTGGAAATGTGTTTGAGAAATAGGGTAGGTGAAGGAAAGGATCATGAAACTGAATAGAAAACCCTATTCAAATAGGGACCAACTGAAACAAACCCCTTTGGTTTGGGATAGGAATAGGGGTCCAGGAAGGTGCACTGGAAAGGGAGATTGGTAGTCCCAGGAGGGATACTCTAATGCTATAAAATATAGATATAGAGATAGATAGATAGATAGATAGATAGATAGACAGACAGACAGACAGACAGACAGACATTTTTTGCCAGTACTAGAGCTTAAATGCAGAGGCCTCCAATTTTCTTGGCTTGCTGGCACTCTACCAGTTGGGCCAGCCTAGGATGTCTTTGAATGCCAATCCTCCCGATCTCAGCCTAGGATTACAGATGTGAACCACTTGTACTTGGCAACAAGATCACTTTTGTTTCATGTAAAACAAAGCCACCAAAAGTTCTTTCTAAGTGTCCCTATAGGTAACATACATATACTTTTACTTGCCTTACATTACAAATTCATATTTGAGTACAAACAGGAAAATCTCTCTGAAGACATTTAGTAAACAAGGTGTTATCCAGGGATGGGGGTTACATCACTGGGAGGTGGGGTGGAATACAGGGCAATATTGCCTAAGTAATATTAATGTCCACAAAAATCCACTATGGGAATGGGACTGTGGCTTAGTGGTAGAGTACTTGCCTAGCATGCATGAAGCCCTGGATTTGATTCCTCAGTACCACATAAAGAAGAAAAGCCAGAAGTGGTGCTGTAGCTCAAGTGGTAGAGCACTAGCCTTGAGCATAGAGAAGCTTAGGGACAGTGCCCAGGCCCTGAGTTTAAGCCCCAGGACAAGCAAAAAAAATCCACTAAGGCAATGAATTTACTCATTTGAGTGGGCTTGGAAAGGGTATTGCTTCCTCTAGGTTAGGAAGGACAAGGACATAGACATGACTGTGTATGGAAATGGAATAGGAAGCCAAAGGAACCCCTGGTTTTGTGACTGTGAGGTGGGACAAAGACCTGAAAGTGAGGACACAGGGCAGGGCCAGGGGGTGGGGTGGGAGCTTCTTTGGGCACTAACAGGAATAACTGTGAGGGTAGAGGATGGGAAGTGGAGAGGAAAGGATCTACATACTGCATGGAGTAAGGTAAGAACCAATTAAAGTCTCAATGCCTATGTGCCTCTAATCATATAAAATAATATTTATCAAAATGAATTCCAGGAAATGGAAACAATTTTTTTCTTCAGTGTTGTTTTCTTTTCTTTTTGTCTTGTTTGTATTTATCTGTCTTTGGGTGGGTAAGGGAGGAGCAGAGAAATGGAGGGGAAAAGAATAAACAAATGCAGCAGTGGTATTCCCTAGACAGTATGTTGAAAATGAACCATATAATTTGTAGGTGGGGACAGGAGAGGAAAACTGGGAGAGTGAAGGAAGGGGTTATATTGTCCAAAAAGAAATGTACTCTTGCCTGGCACCAGTGGCTGATGCCTGTAATCTTAGCTACTCAGGAGGATGAGATCTGAGGATCAAGATTCAATGACAGCTAAAGCAGGAAAGTCTGTGAGACTCTTATCTCTACTTAGCTACCAGAAAATTGGAAGTGGCACTGTGGCTCAAAGTGGTAGCTTTGAGCAAAAAAGCACAAGGACAATGCCCAGACCAGTTCAATGCCCAGTTCAAACCCCCATGACCGACTTAAGAAATAAAAAAAAAGAAATGGGGCTGGGAAGGTAGCTCAGTGGTAGAGCACTTGCCTTGCATGCATGAGGCTCTGGGTTCGATTCCTCAGCACCACATAAGCAAAAAGAAAAAAGCCGGAAGTGGCACTGTGGCTCAAGTGGTAGAGCACTAGCCTTGAGCTGAAGAGCTAAGGGACAGCGCCCAGGCCCAGAATTCAGGCCCCACGACCGGACCCCCCCCCCAAAAAAATAAATAAAATACAAATTAAAAAAAAAAGAAATGTACTCCTTACTTGACTTATGTAACTGAAACTGCTCTATATAGAAGCTTTATAATAATAATTAAAAATTATTTTTTTAAAAAGGATTCCTCATGCCTATATTCCTAGCTACTCAGGAAGCTGAGATCTGAGGATCGTGGTTCAAAGCCAGTCCAGGCAAAAACGTCCAAGAAACTCCGTGAAACTCTTATCTCCAATAAACCACTCAGAAAACTGGAAGTGGCACTGTGGCTCAAGTGGTCGAGCGCTAGCCTTGAGCTAAAAAGCTCAGGGACAGTACCCAGGCCAGAGTTCAAGCCCCACGACTGACAAAAAAGAAAAAGAAAAAAAAAAAAGGATTCCTCTTGTAGTACCCAAATGTGGGAAAGTCTTTTAGGGTTACAAGAAGCCACCAATCATTACAGAATTACATGTATTAAGGCAGGAAAGGCAGTAGGGATGAGCAGAAATGTGTGACTGACTCCTTCCTTACATCCTTTTCTGGACTTATAACATCTTTTCATTTGCTCTCTCAGTGTAAGGACAAGCTAACACTAGTTATACTTATCAGCTCTAGTCAGCTGAGAGGGTGTTTTCTAGCGACCTAGTTTTTACCTTCAGTACTATAAATTATAAAGCCAAATTCAACTTACTTCAGGTCTTTGATTTTACAGGCTGGATCACGCAGTGCTTGGCAGAGGAAATGTAGCTGGGACGAATACTGATTATGCAGCAGAAAGGAGCTAAAAGAGATAAGAAAACAGAATTTAGAACAAAACTTGAAGTAAAAGCTTCCTTTTAGCTTTTTGTAATACTAGTACTAATTTATCACTTAAAACTTGAAGAAGTATAAAGTTATGCTCTTTCCTATATGCTAGGTAGGCACAATGACATGTATTAGAATCACTATTGTCCAGATGGTCTTCGAGGTCAATAACTTTCCTAAGCAACCTTCACTATGTAACTTATTTTTTGTCTGTACTAACAGAAGTAATGACTATACTTGAAAACCAGGTAAGATCAATAGTAAAATCTCACTTAGCCAGCACACTTGGGAAAGGGGCGTTTTAAGTAATTTTTTGGCAGGCATTTAAGCTCTCCCATGAAGACATTAAGATGTAGGGCTGGGAAAAGGGCACTGGTGGCTCACACCTGTAATCCTAGTTACTCAGAAGGCTTCTGAGGGTAATGATTTAAAGCCAGCCTTGACAGGAAAATCTGTGAGACTCTTATTTCCAATTAACTAAAAAAAAAGTGGGAAGCAGAACTGTGCCTAAAATGGTAGAGAACTAGCCCTCAGCACAAAAGCTCAGGAACAGTGTCCAGCCTCTGAATTCAAGCCCCTGGACTGGCACTTAAAAAATAAAAATGAAGTAATTTTTTTTTGTGGGGTCCGGTCATGGGGCCTGAACTCTGGGCCTGGGTGCTGTCCTTCAGCTCTTCAGCTCAAGGCTAGCGCTCTACCACTTGAGCCACAGCGCCACTTCCGGCTTTTTTCTTTTTTCTTATGTGGTGCTGAGGAATCGAACCTAGGGCCTCGAGCATGCAAGGCAAGCGCTCTACCACTAAGCCACCTTCCCAGCCCTGAAATAATTTTTTTAATCATTTTAAGGGGAGATAGGGAGTACTTTATCTTAAGCTAGCTTTCCAAAAACGGAGAATAACACTTGTTTTCATCAATATTTTAATTTTCCCATTATTTTGCTTGGCAATAGACAGGTGAATTGAAGCCGTCTTTATGTTGAAGAGACCTTTGTAATTCAACCTCTCTAACCCATTTCCCCTCCAATTCTGTTCCATCTCCATTTCCTTCCATATTCCGTTAAACACACTTATACAACTTCAGGACAGACATGGGTTTGCATACTCCACAAGTAGAGCCTTTTTATAGTACTCAGGGCCTTGCGATCCTAGGCAAATACCCTAGTATTTCAGCTATGCTCCTAAACCTTTTTGTTTGAGAGAGAGAGAGAGAGAGAGAGAGAGAGAGAGAGTAGAAATAGGGTTTCATTAACTTTATCATGCTGGGCTTGAAGTAGCCATTCTCCTGCCTCCACCTCCAGAGTAGTTAGGATTACAGACATATGCTATCATAACTAGTGTCATTCTCCTACCTGGCCCTACAACTAAGAGAGAGGCATTTCCTATCTTAACTCAGATACTGAGGATAGACAGGTTAATAAGATTTCTTTGTGGATTTTGTCAGTAAGTCAGTAGCATAATATTTTACAGAATCTATGGGGTCCATATTATAAAAGTGGTTTACTTAAGTCTCTTTGAACTTCAGACTTGTCCCTCTTAGAAGGTTTCATGGACAGAAGCCAGGCTTTCCAGTAAAATATACATAGAAAAATGGAGCTGAAGCTCAAATAATAGGAGTGCTAGGCATGAGCACAAAAGCTCAGGACAATATCCATGTTCTGAATTCAAATCACAGGACAGGCACAAAAAAGGTATACAGAAATATAACTCTGACCTTTACTAACAAGGAGCTATTTGAGGCTATTTACATCTATTTCAGTAGATGTAAAGAAAAATTACAACCAATCTGATGTTAGGTATACTATCTTTTCCAGAACAGTCATCTACACCAAAATAACTGAGTGCTCACTGACATCCTTGACAACTTTAAATGCTCATAACACTTGATAATTATATAGCACATTCACAGAGTGGCAATAAAGACTTCATACACATACATACACATACACATACACACAGACCTGTGCAGGCATGCGCATTTAATGGTGGCCAGTTTAAGTGTGTGGTGTAAGTGCTCAAAAATGTTAGCTTCCTTCATGGTCTGTCTAGGCCAGTGATGAATGCATGATAATCAATAAACACTTATTGTACAGACAGAAAACAGAGAAACTTGAAACCACTCTTTATTGCCAATGCTAAGTGTTATATGACATAAGCAAGTGGCCGCTTGTTTAAAGGCCAACAATGGGGCTGGGAAGATGGCTCAGTGGTAGAGCGCTTGCCTTGCATGCCTGAGGCCCTGGGTTTGATTCCTCAGCACCACATAAGAAAAAAGAAAAAAGCCGGAAGTGGCACTGTGGCTCAAGTGGTAGAACGCTAGCCTTGAGCTGAAGAGCTGAGGGACAGCACCCAGGCCCAGAGTTCAGGCCCCACAACCGGACCCCAAAAAAAAAAGGCCAACAATGAGGAAAAGCCATGAATATACTCACTGATTAAATGATACATTTGATGCTGTTGGCATGGATGGTGGCATGAATAGTGACGTATGTATTTCCTCTTCAAACCCAAGAAGGTGCTGACACTTGAGAGACATTGACAGGTCACTGTGACTATTTTTGACACAAAATGACATAGCCAAGGTGTCCATTTTTGTATAGGTAGCTTGGAGCAGCACAAGTGACTCTAAGTGATCAACTATCTTCCCTGCATATTCTGTGTTCTGCATCTCATACAAACAGTGAAACAAGTCAACTGGCTCTATCTGTAACCGGGCAGTTTTATCCTTCATTTCTGTCTCAGTCCATTTCAACAACTCTTCTTCAAGTTCTTGACAGATTTGTCTTCCAAATACATTTTTCACAACCATTTCCTTCCCTTTATGTATGAGTCCAAATAGGAATTGTATGGTTGGTGAGGAAAAACCTTTTCCAACTTGTTGGAATATTTCTTGCCATGTTTTCCCAACTTGATTAAAAGCTACCCAGCAGTCATCATTCTTCAGGACATAGTACACGGCAGTTAAGAACTCTTGGAAACTGAAGTGAAGGAAGGTATAGATATTAACATCCCCTTCCACTTTTTTCAAGAAGTGATTGAGAAAATCACAACTGGCATCATTAATTCCTATCCCGTGTCTTTGGAGGTCACTGACTGTAAACAGAACCTGACGGTTCTGCAGTCCCTCTGCAGCCAGAGAGCAAAGGCCCTGCAGACAACTCTGTCCCATCCACATCGGGATGCCTCTAAGGTTTCGGAGGCACTTAAAAAAATAGAACAGATAAACACCAGTCATGGTATGCAGTGACCTCATAAGATGCTTATCTTCATCATCCTGTGACTGCAGGACTCTGCACAGCATCCAGGAGACAATGGGCAGTGAGGATATAATGTCAAGGTGTTCATTGTCTCGCAAGTCATAAAAGACACTCATTGCTCTATTAGCACCTGATATCTGACTCAAGAAATATGCTCTCTTTTCAGCATCTCGAAACCACAGGATCTCTGCCTCGATAGGTTGTTTTAACAGAGAGTGGAGCTTCTTCATGGCTGTAAGACGGGCAGTTATCAGCAGAGAAGATTCAGGAAATAGTGTTTTCTTCACTAAACTACACAGAAGAGACTCCACTGGCTTCTTCTCCTGGGGATTATCACTCAGATCATCTTCATGCTCACAGAAAATGTATGGCAGCTCAGGAAACCCATCAAGAATGAACAGAAGCTTCTCTGGATATTCAATGATAATATCCAGGATTGGTTCTTTTATATCTTGAAAAGTGTTGGTGATCAAATCAATAGCACTAATAGGAGCAGTATGGCTTATTTCTCTGCAGTTGACATAGATGAGATAGTCAAATCTGCCTGGAGTAACCATTCCTGCTGCCCAGTCAAACATGAACTTGTGCACCATCGCTGTTTTCCCACTCCCTGGGCATCCCTGAAGCACCACTGTTTTGGAGGAGTTGCAGCCTGGCTCATCAGGATCAAACATGTGTTCCATCTCAAGAAAACAATCTTGCTGAGGCACTCCACAGGAAGTCTTTTCTGATATACCATACTCTTTTACAAGAAGTAGCCGTGTATCTATATGCTTGCAATGGGGTAAACATTTATCAGGTCCTGTTTTTAGGTATTTTTCTCTTAGATGTCTTCGGTACATTTCCCGATAATCTAATGCGACAACAAAGGGTAAGTAAGTTAGAGTCATGGAACTCTACAACTAGGACTTACACAACCATTAATACCATATCTCTCCTTGGATGCCTCAAAAGCTCCTCAAATTTTATACATCTAAAGCTGAGTGCTGGTGGCTAAAATCCTAGCTGATAGTCTAAATCCTAGCTACCCAGGAAGCTGAGATATGAGAATCATGGTTTGAAGCCAGTATAGACAAAAAAAATCTGTGGGACTTATCTACAAAAGCTGGAAGTGGAGTTATGGCTTAAGTGGTAAAGCTCTAGCCTTGAGTGAAAAAGCTAAGGGCCAGCACCCAGGCCCTGAGTTCAAGCCTCAGGACCAGCATAGACAAAAAATTAAAGTGCCAGATGCCAGTGGCTCACACCAGTAATCCTAGCTACTCAGGAGGCTGAGGATGGTAGTTGAAAGCCAGCCTGGGCAAGAAAGTCTGTGAGACTCTTATCTCCAATTAACCACCAGAAAACTGGAAGGGAACTATGGCTCAAAGTGGGAGAGTGCTCGCTTTAAACAAAAGCTCAGGGACAATGCCCAGGCCCCACAACTGAGGAAAAAAATTACAAACTTTTATACATCTAAACCTAAGCTCTTGATTTCAACACACACACACACACACACACACACACACACACACACACACACACTCCCAAGACAACTCTACCCAGACATCTCTCATCTCATTTAAATGCTGCTATCTATTTCCTCTGAAAAATGTTAGGAGTTGTTATTATTATTACTTTCAACTGTCTGTTCCAATCAGATAACAAACTACCATTTACACTTTCAAAATCAATGTATATCCTACAAAATTTTAAAAAAATTGAGGGACAGGATGGGTTGGGAAGGATGGGTGAGAATGTTGAAAGGGGTGAAGAAAAATTAGCTTAAAATTTGTGTTCCAATATGTCCTCTCACACTATGAACTCTTCTGGACTGCTGAAACAGCCTCCCACTTATCCCCTCTTGTCCATCTACTGCAAGAAATCAAAGAGATTTCCTGAAAATATTAATTTGATCCTGTCAATATCCCATCCAAATTCCCTTGAAACTTTTCATTATAGTTGATATGCTATTTAAAATCCTTACCTCACTCTACAAGGTGCTCCATGAGTTAAACAACCTTCTCTTCCAAAGCCCTATTTTAAACCATTCTTCTTACTGTCTGATGTGTGTGTGTGTGTGTCTTTTGTGCTCAAGGATGGTGATCTACCATTTGAACCATAGCTCCACTTCAAGCTTGTTTTTGGTGGTTAATTATTAGATTTAAGAGTCTCACAGATTTTCCTGCCTAGGCTGGCTTCAAATAGATATCCCCAGATCACAGCCTCCTGAGTATCTAGGATTACAGGCATGAGCCACTAGCACCTAGCAACACTAGCTTAATTTTTTTTTTTTTGCCAGTCATGGGGTCTAAACTGTGGGCCTGGGCGCTGTCCCTCAGCTCTTCAGCTCAAGGCTAGCACTCTACCACTTGAGCCACAGTGTCACTTCCACCTTTTTCTGCTTATGTGTTGTTGAGGAATGGAACCCAGGGCCTTATGCATACAAGGCAAGCACTCTACCACTGAGCCACTTTCCCAGCCAACTAGCTTAATTTTATGTCCTAAAAATGTTATATTGCCAGGCACCAGTGGCTCACACCTATAATCCTAGCTACTCAGGAGGCTGAGATCTGAGGATCGCAGTTCAAAGCCAGCCCAGGCAGGAACATCCATGACTCTTATCTCCAATAAACCACTAGAAAACCGAAAGTGGTGTTGTGGCTCAAGTGATAGATTGCTTGCCTTGAGCTGAAGAGGGCAGGGACAGTGCCCAGGCCCAGAGTTCAAGCCCCACAAACGACCAAAAAATAAATAAATAAAAATTTCATATTCTTTAGGTGCCAGTGGCTCACACTTAGCTACTCAGGAGGCTGAGATCTGAGGATCACAATTCAAAGCCAGTCTGGGTAGAAAAGTCTCTGTCAGAATTTTATCTCCAATTAACCACAAAAAAAAAAACAAACCAGAAATGGCACTGTGGCTCAAGTCGTAGAGTACTAGTCTTGAACACAAAAAAGCTCAGGGACAGCACCCAGGCCTTGAGCTCAAACCCCAGGATGGACAAAAAAAATGCCATATTATTCTCCTATGTGCCAATGATCATATAAAACTAGTATTTCTCAAAATGAACTCCAGGAAATGAAAACAAGAGGTATTTTCTTTGTTGTTTTTGTTTTCTTTATTTTGTCTTGTTTCTCCATTTGTCTGTCTTTGGGAGAATAAAGGGAGGGGTCACAGAAATGATGGGACAAGAGTGAGCAAATGCAGCAGAACTACTTACTAGACACTATGTTGAAAATGAACTACACAATTTATGGGTGGTGATGGTGGAGAAAAACTGAGAGAGAGGGAAAGGCTGACATTGTCCAAAAACAAATGTTCCTTTTATCTGACTTATGAAACTGTAACTCTTCCATATAACACCCTTATAATAGTATTTTTTTTATGAACTATACAACATGTGGGCAGGGACAGGAGGGAAAAACTGGGAGAGAGAAAGGGAAGGGGTGACATTGTCCAGAAAGAAATGTACTCTTTACCTGACTTATGTAACTATAACTCCTCTGTATGTCACCTGTATAATAATCAAAAGTAAATTTTAAAAATTTAAATTGCATACTCTCTCTGCCTGGAACACGATTCCTCCTGTTCTTCCCATGGAGACTTCCTTCTCATCCGCCTGACCTCAACTGAAAAATCACATTCCAAAAGAGAATTTGTGTGATCACTAAAATTACAGCAGATCCTATCTTCTACTATTTCTCTTTCTAGACCTTATGAAAAGTTTATAACCATACTGTTGGTTTTCTGTTTTATTGTTTGTGTTTTCTCCTTAACAATATGTATCGTGACAGAGACCTTAACGTTGTACCATAATATCTTGGTATCCAGCATGACACCCAGAACATAGTTAACACTCAATAACAATTTATTGACTATGGCTATAAATGTTTCTGCATTCAAAAAAGTTACTTATTATTGTGTATTCTGTACCAGATACTGTACTAGGCACTTCACACATAGTTAATTATCACAATAATTCCATAATGCAGGTATGCTCACCCTTGACACTTCGGGATGGTCAAGTGTACAAGTAGGGCTGGCTTCATGAGAATGCAGTCTGTGCATTTGGTCACACAGCATTCTGTGCTCAGAAGGTCCATATTTGCTTTAATGCTCTTCTGAGGCTATACTGAAATTCTTAAATCTCTGAACAAGGTGGATCCTGCATTTTTATTTTGAACTCAAATCCCAACAATTATATAGCCAATTGCTTTTGGTAATTTATTCAATTATCTTAAATGGCAGGCTTAATTCAGATTTAGATTTGTCTGAGTAACTCACTGAATTCAAACCTCTTGTTAAGAGAATTATCAAAACTGGCATTCTGCCAGGCGCTAGTGGCTAGCACCTGTAATCCTAGCTACTCAGGAGGCTGAGATCTGAGAATTGCAGTTCAAAGCCAGCCTGGGCAGGAAAGTCCGTGAGGCACTTATCTCCAATTAACCACCAAAAAACCAGAAGTAGCGCTATGGTTCAAGTGGTAGAGCTGAAGAGCTGACAGTGCCCAGGCTTAGAGTTCAAGACCCTCCCCCCCGCAACCCGAAAAAAAAGCCCAGCATTTTCCAAATCAGCATTTTTGAAAACTATTCTGCAAGACATTAATAAGAGAGCTATTCTGAAAAGGTGTTGAACAGTAAAGTTAAGATGAGGGCAATGTACCCTCAATCCTCTTAGTAAAATATCTGAACACACATGTGTGAAAAGCTGCTTTACTCTCCTACAATGTTTTTAAAAAGCTGCTTAACTTGGTTTAATCCAGTATTTTGTGTTCTTACATACAACTATAGAAACTCTTTTCTAACCATGAAGTTATTAACTCCAAGAAAACAGAACTCAGTTTGGATGCTGATCCAGATAAGGCATGGCAAATATTTTCTGGAAATTTTCTTGAGTGGTTAGGGCTTTTCAAACTCTTTCAGTAACAACGTTGACATGGTAACATAAAAGCGGCCACAGACAACATGCAAATGAATAACAGCAGTATTCCAGGAAAACCTTATTTGCAGAAGCAGGACACTAGGTATATTTGTCTGGCACACTAGGCTACTGTTCAGTAGTCCCAATTTAAACTATTCCCAAAGAGGACTGGTCTTTTTTAGCTATTTAAAATTTCTATATCTGCTGGGCACCTAACACCTGTAATCCTAGCTACTCAGGAAGCTTGAGATTCACAGATTACAGTTTGAAACCAGCCCAGGCAGGAACATCCCTGAGACTCTTTTATCTCCAATTAACCACCAAAAAGCCAGAAATGAAGCTGTTGTTCAAGTAGTAGAGTGCTATAGTCTTGAGCCAAATAGCTCAGAGACAGAACCCAGAGTTCAAGCGCCAGTACTGGCACAAAGGAAAAAAAAAACCTCTACATCTGGCTCTTAATGACCACCATAAGTGATCTTTTCAGTATTTCAATACTCACTTGAATATACCTTACATGTTTTAGAAGTCATATTTGCTTCTCAGAGCTTCATAGATACTGACAAAAAATTAGCAGCTGTTAACCCAGTGAATAAGAGTTGAAAATGGAGAAGAGTAAGGGTGAGAAACTGGATTCAAAAGAGACATAAATTCTAAAACAGAAATGTAGGATAATCAAAGAATGAGATTGTAATACCATTCGTAATGAAATGGAAAGACGTGGAAAAATTGGATTGAGTTAAGTAAGCTAGACCCCAAAAAAACACAGGTTATAAGGTTTCCTTCATTTGTGGGAGCTAGAATTGTCCCTATAAATCTATAAGTAAATATACTATGTGGGTATGCAAGCAGTTATAAATGAATTAATTTAAGTATAATAGAGTCTATGGAGAGCGCAAATAGTGTAATTTTTTTTGAAACACTAAGTCAGAGCTCAATAAAATAAGTACCAGGAAATGGGTATTTGCAATGGAGGGGGGTAGAAAAATGAATGGGGTAAGGGAGTAGAATGTAGGCGAGAATTCATTGTATATATCACAGAACTTAGAAAAATAAGGGAAGGGATGGAAAGGGGGAGGGTTGAAGATGTTGAAGGGATGACCAAAAAATCCAATGCATAACCTAAAAGATTAAGAAAAGTGGGGGGCTGAGAAGGTGGCTCAGTAGTAGAGCACTTGCCTTGCATGCAAGAGGCCCTGGGTTCGATTCCTCAGCACCACATAAGCAAAAAGAAAAAAGCCGGAAGTGGAGCTGTGGCTCAAGTGGTAGAGCG